TCCAAAGATATTATAATATCTCATATTTGCATAGGGTTCTGTGGCAAAATGAGCTTCATTGGAATATTCTCAAAATTAAACAACTGCTTAATTATAGGAATTCTCAGAATCTTTAATAAATGAAAAGCTATGTTCAATTTTAAGATGTGGATGACCCAGATATAGTACATGACATTTTCCTACAACATCATCCCTTTTAATGAAGGAAGCTATTTTTCTCCCTTCCATGAAGGAGCTCAAAAGAGTAGTATTGATAATATTGATTTTAAAAATACTTTATATTAAAATATAAGATGTAATTTAGTCCCCAAAACATTTCTATGAAGCAAGCAGACCAAGTCAGCATGATTTTCAATCTATAATTAAGGAAACTAAGGTTGAAAGAGATTTACTAAAACCTGGAAAATTTTGACTTGGAACCTGGCCTTTTGATACTTATTCACTATGACTTAACTTCTGATCTAATACAATATCTATTTGGAAAATTTTCTAAATTCATTTTCTTTTTATTATGGAAGATCCTTGTTTTACATTTTTTCTCTATTTTAGACAGATATACATATAATCTATGGGATTTATTATTTTTGTAACATGCAGAAGACAAGATTATCTTGGAGCTCCAAAACATGTCTTGTCTAAAACAATTTCATGAAAATTCTTGCAATAAAATACAAAGAAATATTTGAAGAAATATAATAAACATATTAGATGAAACAACTTAAATATAAACTAACCTCTCAATACACATTAAAAGAGAAAGTACCCATATTTAGCATGTTTTCTCCAGAGAAAGAACTGATTTATGATTTTTAAAAAGTCACCGGTTTGCAAAAATTTTCATTTTTCCCAACCACACTTAGCAATGTTATTTGCTGGTTTTCTATCATGATTATCATCTTTTCACTTACTGCCGATTGTATATATTTAATCTTGCCCCATGAGGATCAATTAGCATGGTTTTAAGACAAAAAGGAAAGAAGGAAAGGAACACCTTATTCTCTTATTGTCATGCTCTTCCAATCTGTATCCCTCTGGTTCCTTCAGCATAGCTATGTAATCCATTCAGCAAATATTTACTGAGTGCCTACCATGGCCAGCCATTCTGCTAAGGCATGTTCAGCCCCACCCCATACTTCAACATTGAGTTACCTGCTCTTCTAAACTTGTTCGTAGGAGCTAGACTTACAACTCAGTGGTGGTAATGATAACATTTAATAACTATGGGAGCTTTACTGTATGCCAAGCACTGCTCAGAGGTTCACAAAACTATCATATTTGATTCTCATCACATCTCTATGAAGTTTCCTAGATAAGGAAACTGAAAGCTCAGGCAGCTTAAGTACCTTATTCAGGCTCTTAAGAACTCTCAAATAACAATCTGAGATTTGAACCTAGTCAGTTTAACTCTAGAACTCATGCTCTTTAAACAATCTATTATACATTGCTTTTATTCTTTTCTTGGACTCAAATTCATTTTGGATCAAGGCCTTGCCTGTCCTAACTAGCATGCTTCAGGAGCCAGGTTACTTAAACCTCCTCACTATGATCTCAGAACCTGCCTAGGCATATTGTCTGGATTTCTGACCACTGCCTGTTTGTCACGTGTTTACCATAGTGTCCCCTCTACCTGCTAGGATATCCACCTTGACAATTTGATGACTTGAATTCCTTATCTTCCAGACTGGTAGGACTTCCTTCCTACAACTCATTCTCTTTCTAAGCCCATGTACCACTATAGCGTTGTTTGTTGCTAAACCCTCTCCTGATCTTGAGGTTTTACTGCCTTTTAAGGTATCCCTATGACATGTTCTCTGACTTCCTTTGAACCCAATGCCTGATTTTTTCCTTCAGGGCTCAGCTTTTGAGATATCCTGCAACACAATGAGTGGCTATTCCACAAGCTCTTCTTCCTCACCAAATAATACAATTTTACTATGAGTAAAATTTAATAGTAATGATTTATTTATAAAAATGGTATTATAACAGGGGCCTTATGAAAGAATTTAAGGAAACACAGTATGCAATGTAAGACAATGCTGCCAAGTGTTAATAGAGTACCTGTTATGTCTTTACTACTAGGCTAGGCACTGTGGCAGTTGAAAAAAAAAGGCATTGCTGAGACTTTCCAATTGCTTATAAATCTAATTATTACATAAGAAGTATTTAATAAATATTAAAGTGCCATTTTATACTAAGACTAGAAACCATAAATAAATAGAATATATGGAAAGTAGCACAGGACAGTCAGGGAGGTTTGGTGAATCTTGAAGATTAATCAAACATGAGTAAATGCAAGTAAACCAAAATGTGCATCCAGGCTTGGAATTAAAAGCTGAGCAATGGCTGGGGGTTAATGGTTATGATGAGAACAATGACCTTAAAAAGAGGATCTGCGTTGGGGAGAAATGAAAGACTCAGTCAAATATGAGAGGTAGGGTCCAGAGAGATCACTCACCATGCTAAAAGCCAGGAAAAGCAGACAGGTTTGATGAAGCAAGAAAAAGAAAGCTACTAAGCTAGAAAGAGATCAATGGAAGCCCACTAAAGATTTATCTAGTTGTGTGCTTCAGGATAGAAGAGGGAAAATGAGAGTCGGGAAGATGGTTATGGGGGGAGGACACATATCTGTCAGGGATATCATCTGTTGCAATAATCAAGGTATGAATTTGAAAGCCTGGTCTAGACTAGTGGCAATGGAAATGTTAAGGCTAAAGCCAAGATGGCTATGCACGAGGACAAGGAAAGAATAGAAATGGGGCATTCTGATTGTCATTAGCTGAAAATAGCCTTTTAAAAAGTTTTTCTTGCCTTTCAACTTTCTTCTCTGTAACGTGTAATCCCCAAACACTGATTTGATCATAACAATTTCTTTTTCAAAACATTTCAATAATTCAGTTGCACAGACATAATAAAATCCAACTGAATTGGCATCATATCTAATGTTCTCCATGAACTCAGCCTTAACTCCTTTCCTGGTCTTATTGCACACCTTGTCTCACCATAGCAGTGTCCAAATTAAGGTAGGTATACTTTTGGGGGACAGCAAATCTTTAAGAGATATGTGAGCACAGGGATGGTTTTAAGAAAATCTACTTTATTTAAATCTGTATCCCTACTTCCTAGAACATGATGGGCACTCAATAATTATGCTTCACATAAATGAATGAATCATAACAGTCCATACTCTTCTAATACAGATCTAAGAATATCCCTATGGTCTGAAAATTTTCAATCCCCAAGTTTCTTTTCATAACTAATTTTCTTTTTACTGCTTTCCAAAGGAGGGCATGCATGTCACACATTCCAAATATTACTAGGGTGCTTTGTCATGGGGAAGAGAATACTCTGGTAGAAAAATAATGAGAAAATTTGAAATACTGTATTGATATGAAATGAATGACTCCAATGAATTAGAAACCAATTTTTTGGTAACCTAGCTTCTAATTCATGCTTTCAACTAAATTAATGAAGGATTTAATGAGTTTATAAACAAAGAGAGGATTAAAATAATTTCTGAAAATAAATCACTGAGGTTTTGTGGCTTTGGTTATGACCCAGCTTCTATGTTTAAAAAAAAGAAATAAAATTGTTACTGAACTCTGCCTCATTCAAGCAATAAGTAATATTTGCCCACCAATTTATAAATTAAATTAAAAACATCAATCTCATTAAATAATATAGTTCCAGTAACATTTTTTTATATTGTATAAGCATAGATAAAAATTTATAGAACATTTATCTTGCTGAATAAAGCTTTTACTAATAATACTGTAATGATAGATTAATCCAGGAAAATGTTTTAAACATTTGAAATATTATACTCAATAAATTTAAAAATATATACTTATTTTTATTATAAAGAATTATGAAATAGGGACCAATAAAAGACTTTCAAGTATAAAAACACATTACACTGGAATACAAGTTATGTGGAGAAAGTGGAATAGGTTCAAGGAAAACAAAGAATGTTGTAAAATATACTATAAAGAAAAGCCTAGTTTCCATAAGCTAGAAGACCACAAGGTAGAGGATACCAAATGCTTCTTGGTATTGCTTTTATATCCAGAGGAATGGAATTTTGTTTCTCAAAATTGGTCAAAGAAAATCATCCTCTCCATTCAATTGACTCCTATCATGATAATTTATCTGAACATATCAGAGTCAGAAGCCCAATCCCCAATCCCATCTTCATTATGTCTTGTCTTTTTAGGTCCAAAAAGGTGAGTTGTTCTTTTAATAAGAAAAATAAAAAACAATGAGGGCTTTTGCAGAGAAAGCCACACATAAAATCCTTTTTAACTAGCCAACCAGTTAACCATAATAGCAAATGCAGTCTAGCCTTTTGCTACCTGGTTGGACACTATGTATGTCATCTTATGTGACAGCATGGTATTTCTGAACAATTTTAATTAATTCATTCAACAAATACTTATTAAACACCTAATATGTGCCAGGAACAATTTCTGATGGTAGAGATATCTTTTATTAACAAACTCTGGTTTTAAAAAGGGACTGTTGTTAAAGAGAGGAGTTAAGTGACATGCTCAATATCAAATGAAAAGCTTCTGGTGAGAGACAAAGAGGACATTACTAAAATCGAGATGATCTGATTCTCAGACATATCTTACTCACATACCTGATATGCTGACAGTTACATACCCAATTCATATAATTATCACAGCACGAAGGGGGCATGTTTATGATGGGAAGGTCATTTGTAATGTAAAATAAAATGGTCTCAGCATGTCCACTATGAGCAAGTGCTGAAACATTACCCATTTAATGAATATTAATTATATATTAATACCTATAATTAAATATATAAAAAGAACAATTGCTACCTAGGCTCTGTAAAGATACCACTCAGGAAGTAGTTTGATCTGCCATTTCAGTTATTTTAAAGCATTCTTAAATCTCCATGCCACAGATATTTGGATAACTTTGTTTTGGAAAGTGAAGGAGGGGATTTTATCACCCTCAAATGAGAACCAAACAATTACCTGTAGAATGGCAACCTCGTTACGAAGCTGGCTTTCTTGTTTTGTTGGAAATCTTAATTTGTCAATGATTTTAATAGCTACATCTCTTCCGGTTTTACGATGTTTTCCTTTAAAATAAAAAAGGGAAACATTAGTATAATGTTATTAAATATCATCCATATTAACAACAAAATTTACAAGAACATTTATAGGAATGATAAAAATGTTTCACTGGTTAAATCAACATTTATCCAGTGAAAGTGCTAAAGAGCACTGACACATATCTAGAAAGATTTCATTTCTTGGTTTCATTATTCTAAATCAAATATGTACTTTAAAATTAGCCACTAAAACACAAAAGAAATGGGGCATTAAAAGCTGTATGTATCAAGAGCCTGATTTTTTCTTATAAAAATATATGTTTTAGAGACAGAATATTGAACTGTTTAATAAAGAAAATATTCATATTACCAGCAAAAATGCTCCCTTAAGAAAAGTATAATTTTGAAGTCCTGATAAACTAATATATGTTATAGAGGAAAAATTAAAGTCTTGGCTCTCATACTTATTAGCTGTGTGACTTTGAGCAAAGGACTTAATCTTTCTGAATTTTAGGTTCTCCACTTTCAAGTGGCAGGGTTGTTGTGAAGATAAGATGAAGGAAGACATGTAAAATGCACAAAGTGCCAAGGTAACTATGCACACTTAAACAAAATGTTGGTAATCATCATCATCACATAATAGTCCCTTTACATACATTACACCACATTTAATTCTTACAGGTTCAATTCTTAAACCTTTTAGGGAGTCTATGGGACACCCAGAAGCTCTTAACTTCTACACTACTATATTGTAGTAGGTACAGAATATAGTAGCGTTAATTGAATCTGAAAATGTAAAATGAAAATGAATCTGAAAATGAAAATGGAAAATGCATCTAATTACTCAGACTTTTTGGTCACATACAAACTAACTGGAAATTCCATTCTTTCAACACTTATAATAAATCTAGTGTTCATTCATTCATCCTACATCCCACTCTCACTATTCCTTCTGACTCCTTCCAGATGGCTTCCCTTCACCACCAAATTGCCTTGTATTCATGTTTTCTACTTCCTTAACATCACTCTTACTCTTTGACTCACTGAAATCTCTATTTCAACTCAGCCATTTTACTGCAACTATTCTCTTCAAGGCCACAGCTTCTTTTGCCTCTACTCCTCTGTCACTACAGTACTTGACCTCTCTTCTGAGACTCTGTGCTCAGCCACTTCATTCCATCTGTGTCTGGTTTTATGTTTCAGTTTTCCTTGTGGAGGCGCCTCCTATGCCTGGTACTTCAATGTTGGATGTTCCAAATTATCTAGCACCTGCTGGTCTCTCTGCTCTCCTTTTTTACCCTTGCTTCTACTTATCCCATGCTCTAAGTACCATTATTTTTTCCCATGCAATTATTATACCATAGAGCAATAATCTATCTAACATTTCATTTCTCCTATTAGACTGTTATGCATTAATGAACAGTACAATGGTTGCTGACTCACTGATAGGTTTTCCACGAAAAAAATCATCAGAGCATCTTATAAGAATCAAAGTAATTTGTAAAATAGTGTAGAACTTAATTAATTTTAAATTTAAAAGTATAATATTATATGATGGTAAATAAAATTGAGTAGGACACTGTGATTATTTCAGAGCAAAAGATAATTTGTTACTGATCATATTAAGGAACTGAAAGTTATGATGTCATTTTACAGGGCAGGTATAACATTAATTTTAAATGTTTCTCAAAGACTTGAAAAAGAAACTTAGTATATCACTTCAAAAATTAAAAAAATTCAAACCTTAATGAAACAGATACACTGTTAAAGGCATTAGAAAGGTAAAGGATTTTTCGCTTAGTAACCTGAATGAACTTCTACAGATTTGTGATCAAATATACTGAAAGATAATGGAACTAATTTTTTTATGCATACAGCTTCCTTGTTTTCCCAGTATGTTGTCTAAATAAACCAAACTGATGCAGTATCGTGTATAGTTTGTCTATATTTAAACAAAAGGAATTTTTCCGGAGTAGAAAATTTTCTCTTTCAAAATGGAAATATAACCAAAATAGTGACTATCTCAAGAGAAATTTTTAAAAAGGTAAAACACAGAGTTACACACACACACACGCACACACACAGACTTATATACATGTAGGTCTTGTCTTTTACGTTTTCCTAGAAATGTTACTTTGGCAAATACAGTAGCTAAAATTTTAAATTAATAGAAAATGCTTCGTGAATTAACCTACCTCCATAAACAATTCCAAACTGTCCAGAACCCAGTACTTCATCAGGAAAAATCTGATATACTGTGCTGATGTCCTATAGGCGCAAATCCAATGAAAAACAAAATCCAATGAAAAAACACCAGGTGGAACAAAACATCAGTCCTAATAAATTATATAATTTTATTAAATATAATATTATTAAACATTAAAACAATAAATTTAAAATGATAGATGAAATTTGCATCTTTAATTAATTTAATATTGCAATACTTTGAAAACTGTTTTGATCTTAAGTGGCAGAGGTTTTCTAATGGCCTTTCACATATGTTTCAATAGAGAGGAATAACAATTAAGACCATACAATGCAATTTATTATAAGTATTCAAAAAGGGATATGCTTTTTGAGATGGCTATTTAAAAATGTAATTAAATAATCATGGTTCCCAATCACATATCGGTGTGAGTCCTGATTCCCACCACTTCAACCTCTATGGCTGGAATGGAGAGGCTGCTCCCTTATTAGCCGCCCACGTGCAGATGAACCTAGACTGCAGCAACAGGAGGCTGAGCTACTGTGAGTGAGCTGGAGACCCTGCAGAAGAATGACAATCCAGTATGAAATTCTCATCTGGGAACTAGCTAAACGCTTCCATTTCTATCACTTCTGGAGGGAGGCAACACGTTCCAAATATCTAATCTTTTCTATTTGAAATAATAATTGCTGAATAAAGCATGATCTGATGATAATGCTCATGAAAACACAGCATAATACTTTTTTACTCAATGTATTCCTTTTACATTCTATCGTATTTTCTACCTATCCTTCATTCTTACACCCTGACTTTATTTGTTTAAAGTCCTTTTATATCAAGATGTACCCTCTGTAAATCCTATATACCCCTGATCTTTTCTTTTGTCTTTCCCCTTAGAAAACAACTACAAGTTGTCTCCATTCTGTGATTCCTTAAGAGGCCCTATAGGGTGAGTGAGTACAAGGCTGCCTGGGGACAAGAAAACATATCAACACCATTCCAGTATTCTGAGTCCAAGCTACTTCCTCTCAAAAGAGTAGGGTTCTTTAAACTTTCTCTGATAATTCAATGGCCCTCTCAGAACTTCAGTGGACAACAATGGCTGAGCAGGGTGGAACAACCCCACAGCTACCTGGAATTTTCCAAGAGGCTTAAAGAGTAACCTATATTTCCCGAAGTCTTGTCTGGCTAAGCGACAGCAACGAGAAGTTGCAGGTCTTTAGAAATCTCACGATTGACAGCACGGGAATTTATCTAAGCTTCACTATGAAGTTTGCCTAATTCTTTCTGATTCATCGTTGGCTTTCTGTTTAGTTTACGCCACTCAAGCAAAGGTTGTAAAGATATAGTAGTGATGAATAGAGATTCATGAAGTTTATATTTTTTTAAAATCTCATTAAAACATATAAATAAGGCTATAAAATGCTTTTTTTGATCATAATTGTACGAGGCAAAATAGAGCAAAAGGTCTATTGGAAGGAAAGGCCTTATACTTTTTGGCTACTTGCCATAGTGACAAAGTATAACAGAGAAAGCAAGCATATGAAGAATGTAATATATATATTTCATAATATGTCTGATCTATAATTTTCAAAAACTGAGCTAAAAGCATAGAGTTATGTGGCACAGGAGACTAGGGTGCTAGAATGTGGACCTATAAACTCTGATTTATACAATTTTCTTGAAGTCTCCTTAAAGGTACAAGTGACTGTAAAGAGCATTTACAACTAACTCCTTGTCATATGACAGCACTCCTAGGTAGCAACCAAGGAATGAGAACAATGGCATGTTTAAGCTACTCACACAAATCAAGGACTTTATTTTGTCTATTTATTTTACTATGTAACATCAAACATTAAAATTCCAGTACCAAAAAGGAAGAAAAAGGGAAAACATGAAAACTCAGGCATCTCATTATAATTACCTGAGATGAATATCTTTTGGCTCTACATTACAGAATATAGAAAAATCGCTAAACAAATCAATATAATGTAATGTTTCCAAAATCTTATGAAAAAATATCCAAATAGACCCTGTTTTATTTTCTGAATCTCTTATTTCTCAATAATCATATTACCAAGGTTTATATTAGTAGGTGCATACTTACCACATTTTCTTGAATCTGGCAATTTGATACTGAAATACTCACTGAAATATCTCCTGGAAATGCATGTTTAAAAATACACACACAAGAAGTCAGTGAGAGAGGTAATAGCAAAACAAGTAAATACATGCTTACAAATCATCATGCAGGACTGGTTTTAAATAAATCATAGCAATTAGAATTTTCTAGGAAAATGTCTATTAGAATATTTCTTTCCTTTTAAAATTACAGATTCACTTTGTACTTGCTTTTGAAAAATAATATTTTGTCAGTTTAGAGTTTGGAGTCTGGAAGACTTGGATTCAAATACAGACTTGGCTACTTTGCAGCTCTGGGATAAACTTAGGTAACTTAATCTCTTTAGACAGAGAATGAATTCCTCATCTGTAAAACAGGCAAATCATTAACATCCACCTGTTGGTATTGTGTTAGGCATTACAATAGTGATCTCATATAAAGTGCTTAACAGCAAAATATGCATATACATTCTATTAATATGTTTGATTGTAGAGATAAATAACAAAATTGTGATAGATCAAAATATAACAGAGTATAATGTAAAAAGCAGGTTAATTCACAAGTTTCATTATTAATAACCATTATGAAATTTAAAATCATATTTTTATACAGATATTCCTCTAAAATTTCCTTTTAAAAATTCATCTTTAATATCTGATTCTGGTTGCATTTTGCCAAGTCTATCTCATTCTACCAATGAACAGAGATTTTTTTCCTGGGATAAGATAGTCAAGAGTTACCATGCACTGCACACATCAAATACTGCATAGAATACCAGGTTAAGTGGTTTTGGGAAAACATCAATTCAGATTAGCAAGTAGCAAGACTCTAGCATTCCATGTTAAGCTGAAGATGATTAGATTACTTCTTTTATAGCCAATAGCTATAGAGTTCTGTAATTGCCTAGTAGACAGTGTTTATATAAATTTATTAGAATTTTAATATATAATAAAGATAATATAATAGGATAATTTAACAAATGAAATATCTTAAGATTTGCAGCAGCTTTTATTTAGAGACCCTAAGTTTTCCAATAAACTAAATCATCCCTAAGGAGTCTTTCTCAATTCTGTTCTTGGGAAAGGCAGGACAGATGTTTCCTAAGCCAAGGGGAAGGCAGATGAGTGAGCTTTGATCTCGTTAGAAAACTGTCAGACTCACTGTGCAAGCTCGTTCCTGAACCCACGGACGAGCCCTTGGGAATGACGGGCATCAGGGCATGCTGGATGGCCATCTCCCACATCCTGGCCACATCTGCACCAACGCCACTGGTGAGGACACTGTTATTTGGTGGTGGGCTGGACGGATTGACCACATTCTCTCCCACATAATACACTACATTCGCTGTAGTGATTTCAAAACAATGAGGATTGGCCCCATTAGGAATTAAAGCTGAAGTTTTTGCTGGTTCCAGAGATAAAATTTCTGATAAAGGAATTTCCTATAAAGAGAGACTGTGCTAAGTGTAGTTTATCAAAAGTATATAAACTTTCAAATAAAATTCATGCCAGGAATATGTAAGAAATGACATTACAAATAACCATCACTTATTTAAAATAGTTTTAAACTATATAACGCAGACTATTACTAAACAAATTTCAAAAATACCTTTACTATAGAAAATCTTATCATTTCCTTTTTCTAGAAAATGCAGGTGACTTTTTTTTCACTATGTTCTTGTGGCAGAAATAAGTATGATTAAGAATAATGATTTTGAATCTTCATCAGAATCTCAGACTTAGGATATAAATGATAACTTTTATAACTGTGAGGTAAAATCACACTACTTTTGAAAGGCATTTAAGTAGATACAGCTGCTTTTAAATTTTAACTATTCTTTAAAAATTGAAATGAATTATGTAATTGAATTCAATACATGTTAATCTAATGATACTGCCAAGTGAATAGTTTAAGTGAAGAAAACCACAGAGATTGGTTTTAAAAATAAGTAGTTGTTTTTAAGACAATTTTTATATCAAAAAATTAACCACTATATTGTCTTCTAGGAATTATGGGCTAAGCAATCATGACTTTTAAAACAAAATTTTTAATTTTAGAATTGGTGAGGCTTTCTTTTGCTGTGACAGCTGAGTAAAGCGGCCATAGGATGTCAACTACACCCAAATCTGTATTCATTTAGAAGGAGCAAGTATCTACTGTTTTCACTACCAACTTTTTTTGAAGTTGCATTTTACTGGTTGATAATTATGCCACATCTGTATTATTTAATGTAGAGGAACAGAACAAAAATCGCTGCCAGGTTTTTCTCTAGAGGAAAGTGCTCCTTATGAATGTTGGCAAGCATGCAGAAATCATACAATGTTTCTTAACCCTCAGCAATGTTCTGTATGCAATGGATCTCAGGAATTTACTTTTAGCTGATCTGTGACTATGAATTTTCTCATTAATCACACATCTCTGCTAAAATAGTCAATTAATCATTCCCTCTCTTCCCCTCCCCACCATCCCACGGGACCAGAAAGCATTCCCCAGGGAAATGTGAAATTCACAGATGAATCAAGAGGTCACAACCTGATTCTAAAGACATTTGTAAGCTATAGAGAAGAAAAAAATATCTCTTGGAGGAAGCACAAAAACAGTTATGTCTGTTGGATGTGTTTTGTATGTTTGATACTGTACACTGTCATAAGAGAGCAAGAGGAAGAATGAGACTACAAAGAAAAGAGCAAACTGTACCTTGTAGTACCTGCTTCCTGTGTCATTTTGGAAGAGGGTAATGCACTTGCTATCCAATCTCCAATAGTGTCGTTTCCGCTGAAACAGAAGTTAGATTCAGAATCTTTAAAAATCTTTAAAAATACCCCAGATTGATAAAATAAACACATTTTACCAGTGAGGACATAGGATCTGATGGTGGAAAGTGCATGTGCTTTGGACCAGGCAGATTAATGCTCAATTTTAGACTCTATATCCACTCAGTATCACTTAACTACTTGGCAAATGTAGTGTGATAAGTTTCTGCATCTAAGGCAGAGGGTTATGAGCAATAAACCCTCTGAAGTGCCTGGCACTTAGTATGTACATAGTAAGTATTAATAGAAAACACAATTTTTAAATTTATTTGACTGCTTTAAGAGCTAAAGGTGGATTTGTAGTCCATAATAAAACAAGACTTACTTAGTAGGAGATATAGTGTTTATACATGTTTGCTATTTTAGGACATAAGCAATGCCACGCTGATCCACCTAAGTATGCTGGCTTCCATTAGAGATGGAAGAATTCTGAATGTTACAATAGAACTAAAAAATATTTTGTTGGATGAAAAGGTTGACTCCAAGACAACAACTTAACAAAATCAGAGAGATGTATCAAACCACTAACTCCACCTTCTCTCCATCTCACTATAGATCTAACTACTATGATTTGGTGATTAGGTTCTTATTTATTCTAGGTATATCTTTCATGATTCCAGGGTGTGTGTGTGTGTGTGTGTGTGTGTGTGTGTGTGTGTGTTTTGATCTTTTTAGGCCCCAAAGCCCTATTATTCTTGGTTTCTTCAACAACTAATCTTAGATGAAACATATTAAATTTACTTTAAAACTTTATACCACATTTAGGAAGAACTAGGTGGTGTTCAATTGAGTCCTACATTAAGTTATGTAAGTCTTTTCTCTCCAGCAGAGAAGGTTGAGATTATAGATAGATTAATTAGGGTAAAGGTCTCTATCTAAAGAAATGACAGAGATCCTATACATAGGAAGAAATGAAGAAAGCGCTACCAACAACTGAGAAATCAGACATCACCAATCATTAATTAGTTTAACTTTGAAACATGAATCAAGTTTTTCTCTCTTACATACATACCTAACCTCATTCAACAACTATTAGGAAAATCTGGAGAAATGAACAGACTCACATAAAGTATACGATTACTACATTCCTGAATGGGTCAGTTCTTAGGTGAACACTTAATTAAGGATGTAAGGTGTACACAATAGTTACCACTGTTTTTTCTCTCCCTAAAAGGTAGTTTATTTTAAAATTCTAAATAACTGAGGAGCCCTGTGAAAGCACATACTGAGGCTTTCACGTCTGCTGTAAAATGACAGGTAGACATTCAAGTTGTTTGGAGATGATCTCAAGTAATTACGGTAAATGATTCTGTTTGCCTAAAATTGCACTCTACATTTTTTTCTAACTCTACAGCTCAGACACCCAGAGACTGTGACGGGCTCCACCTGGCCTACACCATGCCTGTGCTGAGGTTGACTCCCAGTAACTCAGCATCCCACAGTCCCCACAGGGCAGCAGCAACTCCCCTAATAAAGGCTAGCAAGGAAAGAGACAATCGCTCGCTGTGGGTCTTACCAGAGCATCCTTGCTGGTGTAGTGGACCATCCATCCTTCTTTCATGACTGTGCTGCTTTTCCTCTTCGTGTGTTTGACAGACTGCACTACCCTCATGAGTGGAATATTGTTGCTTGTCGATGGACTTGAAAAGTCAAAATATTTTAGGAGAAATGTTTTCAGGTACAGATATTCTTTTCATGCATAAAAATCTTATTTCAGCTACTCCAAAGTGACAGTCAAAAAAATTCACATCCCATTTTAGTGAAATGTATTGTCAGATCTCTATGGCTCAGAAAGTGGGTTACTCTGAATAGTTACAGGCACTTTATTTGTACACTTTAAGTAATCTCAAAGCTGGGTAAAAAGCACCTTAGTTTTCAGGTTGAACTATATGGTGTTCAGTTTTCAGGTAAACATCAGGCAGATTACCGTCTTAGTATATGAGGTCACAGCATACCGAATCACATGTACAATCTTATCTGCTCATTTATTATATGTTACAGGCACAGTATCAATCACTTATAGACTATATTATTCCAAATGAATTTCAGTCTTTGCATAATTTCATAAAAATTAGAATCTGCTGTTTAAACTTTTATGTAATTATTGCTCATGCAGTTATGCTGATCTTTCTGCTCTTTATCCCCTCCTCCCTTCCCTCTTTGTCTCTTTTCCTCTCTGTCTCTTCTTGTCTTCTTCTGCCCCTCCCAGACACCCCCCCATGCATATATGTAAGCACCTCCCCCCATGCAAACCTTTTGTTACTAAAGAAATATATATCTTCAAAAGACAGCTGTGTTATAAGACTAATATTTTCCAGTATTTTAAAAATGTTATTAAGCCATTAAATGGAAAAAAAACCTCAATCATTTTTTTGCTTTACTTTAATGAACAATTTCAGTTTGTCAATAAAAATGGCATTTATAAAATGGACACAAAACTTTTAATATGCCTTATAATATGAATCAGAACATTTTCTGTAAAGGGCCAGGTAATAAATACTTTGGGCTTTGCAGAATACCTAAATCTACCATAGTGGTGCAAAAGCAGCCATAGGCAACATGAATGGGCATGGCTATGTTCCAATAAAACTTTACAGGACAGGCAGCAGTCCAATTTGGCCTGGCGGCCCCACTGTGCCAACTCCTGATATGAAAAGTGGGGATTATCTAGTAGTGAAAGTATATAAAAATGTAGATAATTAGATAATAGATATAAAATTATGTATACAACTAAAATAAAACCAAGAACAGTGAAGTGTAGACAGACCATGATGTTTGTAATAGGGGCCAGCAATAAAACAGATGGTGTCTGCTGAGGTCAATCTTTGATCTTTGTAGTTCCATGCATTGAGCTATGAATGAATATGAACTTGGTAGTAAGCTTGCAGATGGCAAATATGAGTATCCCTCTCATGCAAAAGAAAACAGACCAATGAACGAGGTGATGCTAGGAAAGGATGCCAATGACACTTCTCCCAGGGAATCCTGATCTCCTAACTCCAAGGCTTTTATCTACAGTACATAGCTTACTTATTAAGATATTAAACATGCACTCTAAATTTCCTTTACAGAAAAGAATAAAGACCACATGAGGTTCCATTGTTTGACTTAGGCTAGGAGTGCTGCTCTCACCTGATGGTCCTATTGGAGTCCTCGTGGTCGGGGTCTGGATCCTGCATTTCTCCACTGTCATTCTGGCATTCTGCCATCGCCATCTCAGCATCTTGGACCATTGCCTCTTCCATGTCATCCATGAGCCCACTGTTTCTTTCACTGTCATTGTCATCACTCCCTTCTTCCATGACCACATCAGACTCTGCTCCAGGGCTAAGCAAGTCTAGAAAATTATTTTGAACCATGAAGATAAGCCTGAAATCCTGAAGCCAAGGCTTAAGAGAAAGTTAAGCAATCCAAATCAAATCAATTGGAAACCCTAAAAATAGCAGCCCTGTGAAGAATGTATCTTTTCTTTCACTTACCCTTTCTATTTCAGTTCATAAGTATCTGACTTTGTGAGAGTTCGAATATGTAATTTTGTAGGTAGATGCTTATGTCTCATGTCCCTAAGCCTAAAAACATGAAACGCCTCAGGAGGAAGCCCAGTGTAGGATAGAAGTAAAGTGGCAGGGGGTAAAATGATCCCAGGTACAAATGACCCAGAAACTGATCATATTTTAGTACCAAAGCCCTGGTGGGAAAAAGAAATATATAAGATGAAGAAAACTTTCACATGAAACAAGATTCAAGGTCACTGATTCTTACAGTAAGTTTTAAAATCACAAATCCCAATATATTAAATTGTTCACATACATACAGCTTTTAAATACCTAAGACACTTGATAATTGAAATTATTTGAACCCTGTCATTATGTAGTTGATGGTATTGCAAAAAAATTATAATTACTAATGCAAAGCACTCATTTTAAAATTAGAAAATAGACTGATCACAGATCCTAGCCTGCCAAGCTTGGAAAATTCACATTTTACCAGATTTTTCTGACTATATGGGAAAATGCAATTTCAAAGTAATCAATGACATCAAAAACTGCTCTGTTTCCCCTTAGTTATAGTTATCAAGTAAGTATATACTGACATTCCCTGGACTTGAATATCATATGCCATAGAAAGTAGGAAGATTGCCAAGCTTTCCATTTGATAGCTAGTTCATGAATCTCCAAGCCAGAAACCAGTATTAAAATGTTTTCCTGGAGAGCTCTCTTTTCTTCTTCTTCTAGGTATAATATATATTTCTCCTGGAGAAGAATGTTCTAAAACAAAGACAGTCATTTGTTCTTCAGCTTTTTAGTAACATAAAAACTCAATTTGTTCCTCTGGTCATCTACAGCCATTTTTCTTTCCAGAGAAATTGGATAACTGGTATCAGACGGAAGGTATAAAGTAGCCCACTATCCATGGAAAAAGTCTGAAATTCTAAGTGAAATATTTTGGTATCAACCCATTAGAATACTACCTGAGAAGAAAAACTGAGCCGTTCCCTTAAGATATGGCATTTTTCTTTCTTTCTTTTTTATTTTTATTTATTTATATATTAATTTTAGAGTATTATGAGGGTACAACCATTTTGGTTACATTTGATGTCTTTGCCTCACCGAAGCGAGGGTTAGAGGCATGGCCTTCCCCTCTGCAATGCTCACCATGTCCTTTAGTTGTGATTTTACCTCCCCCAACCTCCTAATCCCTGGAGAATATTACTACCATGTAAGCACCATTTTTCTTAGGCGTCCATCCTTCAAAGTTAATTTATGGAGTTGTAGTTTTCCCAAAGCAATATTCCCAAATATTAAAAAACAGTTTTTTTTTTAATTGGCAAACTTAAAGTTCATTTTATTAAGGATGCTTGGAATGAAGACAGAGGAAAAGAGACTGAGACCTATAACTTGTAGGTGTCCCAACAACTCCCACATTTCTAAACAAACTAGGATAGGAGTATAAAATGAGAAAGCTGGGAAAGAAATTATGGACATTCAACTTTTCAGTACTAGCTGTTTATCGCGTAAAGATCAAGAAAGTCTCTCTGTTTTTTTGTTGTTGCTGTTAATTTGTTTGTTTTATCAAAACTCAGTGGATGCTTTTCTACAGTAAAGTAGAACAAACTCTGGCCACAATTTACTTTGGGCTGGAATAGTTGCTTTTCTAGAGTAAAAAGGAGAACAAACTCTGGCCATAGTTCATTTTGGGCTTGGTCTGAAGTATCTCAAACCTCCCCACCCCCACCAAAAAAAAAAACAAATACAAAAAAACAAACAACTAAAAACCCTGCTAAATCATAATTGCCACCCTCTCTAATAGGGAGAAAGCATAGACATAATTGATGATCTTTTACCCACCTCCATTAATGGTCACTTCGCCGAGGCAGTTGTTTGGGACTTTTGGTGCACAACGTTTATGACAGTTGAATCTGCAATCTAGTCTCAGTGATGTTTAAACAAAACAAAACAAAAACCAGGAATTCATTAGAAAGAGAAGTTGCAAAACAAAAAAATAGTAATTTCAGCCGGATGAGGATTAATTCAAGGGTCAAAGCTGGGCTGGTGACAAATATTTGGTGACAGGATCATCCTTACCTTTGCACTGCAAGCCCTGCCTGAAAAGCCCCTTGAGAAGCTTCTTGCAGTACTGGCACACCGTGGGCCGCGTGTAGGAGTGGATGACGAATGTGTGCGGTACTTTCACTTTAGACATCAAAATCTTGTCCAGCTGAATTGGTCGCCCAATGTATGACTGAGAATTTGACCTCTTCTCTCGACCAATGAATGACTCAGATGGTGACTTTTGCTACATGTTTGAAAAACAATAATGGACAGTAAGATGTAAGAGACCACATGATCTATATATTTATATATTCCTAAATCTCATTTCACTACTGTATTTAATGGTTTTGTCCTTAAGAATGTGAGCAAAATGATGTGTTTCTGTTAATACATATAATTTATCCCTCTCCCCTATTTCTTATTTGTGTTATCTTGTTTGTATAGTCTGAAAAGAAAAGAATTGATATGAATATTTGAACCTGATTTCTAGGTCTTTCAAATATTTTTTGCTTTTAAAAATTAATTAATTTTAACCCAGAAATAGAAAGTTGAGAGTAAACAAAAATGGTAATGGTCCTTAATCCAACTGCACATATTACTTCATTGGCACTTTCTAGAGTATTACATGCACATAGTTAGAAAATGCAAGCAGCTCAGAAGGACAGAAAATGAAAAGTAAATGCACCCCATTTGCCTTGGAAAGTACTTCATCTGAAAAAGGCCTACAGTTCCTTTAAATTCCCTCAAAAATATGGTTTTAAATTATTCCTCAACCATATAACAATTAGAGATTAAAATTATACTATCATTTTTATTATTGAAAAACACAGGAACAAACAAACTATATAAGACACACCAATATTGGTGTTTAGGTTATAATTATATCTCTGAGCACTCTTGTCTCTCATTTTGTAGTTATTTAATCAGCCCAGTATACAGATTTTATATAGATTTAATGGAAATTAACTGTATTTTCAATGGTTTTGGATAATTTCATGGTACCTCTGCATATTGTGGAAATGTGTAGGGAATCATCAGAATAAATATATTATGGACTCATAAGAATAAAAAATAAATCAAATTATTTTTTAACAGTTATTGTAATTAAATTAAATGTCTCATTTATTAAGCTCTCACTCTATAGTAACAACTGTGTTAGGTACCTTAAAAGATAGGCCTTGTTATCTATAGTTGAATCATCTAAGCTCATAAAATTTATATATATTTCTTTGGGTAAAATGCTAGGAAATAGTGGAGCCAAAACATGAACCTACATTTGTTTGCCTCCAGAACCCTTGTACTATCACCTTATTCAGTTAATTTCTAATTTGAACCGATTACTGATAAGAGAAGAAATAAATCATATTTGCATATAATTTCCATCCCTTTCATTCCCTATCTGCACCAAAAGATAATACTACTACTTATTATCAGAGGGTGAAATTTTCATTTGCAGTTTCACTAGCTGCAGTAAAAAGAAATTTGAGATGAGGTTCTACATAGAGATATTATGTCTACAGTAAAAACCACAATTCCAATTCTATAAAGAAAAACTATAAAGCATAATTATTCTGGAAAGGCTCAACTCTTTTCCAGAGAAGTCCAGGAAGCTTATAAAGATGGACCAAAGGTTTGCTAAACTAGAATCATGAATATATCAAATAAATATCTTTAATGGAATTGAAAGATAATTAAATCCACAGGATTAGGTCCCTGTTCAGTGTCCTTTAATAGCTACATCCAATGAGCCACTTTTAAGCAGACATTAAAATGAAAGTGATATTTTTCCATATTTGGAAAGTTTCAACACTCAGAATAAAAGATGACCTGATGTCACACTTTTTTAGCAGACTTAAAATGTTCTCAGATTTGGAAAATCCTATGAAAAGTTGGCCAAATCACTGTGCAGTTATCTTCCTTAAGATAATTGATTCCAGGTTGTGCTAACAGAGCCAGTTTGACACAAGAGTATTTACTATACCACAGAGCAAACTTATTAGAAAAGCAATAGGAATCTAGTAAACTGAACTTTTTCTTCTCATCCAACATGGTTACATTCACATAAATACTGCCATAAACTACAAGAACCAGAACTATTCTTGAGAAACCATTTCACTTATTGCCCTGAAGTCAGGATTATATAAAAAATTTTAAAATACTATAAGTTCAGGAAAATGATATTTGGCTGTCACTCTGTAGCCCAGAGACTATACTTGGCACAGAATAACATAATTTATAGTGTAAGAAATTAAGACTTTAATAGCATTAATAAAGAGTACCCTCCTGTCATTAATGACATTTTAAAATTTAAAATCATCTAGTAACCCTACTAGAAATAATTAGCATAATCTTTTCTTATAGTCCCAAATATAATTAATCATTTTCAATATGGCCTATATATCTAAATTAAAAAGTAAAACTTTAAAATCTTGAGACAGGGTGCATGTATGGTAATTTCTCATGTAGAAATTGATTTACTGCTGGAAGGAGATTGTTTTAATTTATTAAATAACAAACACCTTGGGAAAGGGAGAGTGAAGAAGCAGTCTGAAGCTTTGTTTGCAGTATTTAACTGTACATTTCTGAGTGTGTACACACATGTATTTGCATGTGCTTTCCCTGTCATGCAGCAAATCTAAAACGCCAGGACAAAAAAGGAAGACTAGGTAACTAACTAATGATTTACTAAGTGCTTATGGGGTATTTATTTATTCTTCAATTATAATGTAAAACAAGAGTTTTGTTGATATATAACAGAATAAGGCCATTACCCTGTAATATACATTTATCATTATTTACATAATGTTTAAGAACCATCATTTCTATAATCCTGCAATCACTTCTTTATAGATATTTCTAATGATGTGAGCACAAACCAAAAACTAAGGATTTCCAGAATCAGAGACAGTTTTTATTAATAATTAATATTCAGTTATTATTTTAAGCAAAAAATTCAATTATTATGTGAAATTTTGTTTGAAGGCATATACACCATCATGCATAATTATGCTATTTTTTGTTTGATGTATCAAGTTACAGAGTAGGCAAAAATTCATAAATAAGTATTAATAATTTTAAAGGACATAGACACTTTAAAAAATTTCTTTGATCTTTGACCCTTAAGATAACTTCAACATAAAACTAGATAGTAATTCAAAGCATAATGTTGACAGAAATAACCAGACATTTTTGTATATAATAAATTATCATACAAAGTAAAGATTTCATTATATGTAAATGTTATGTATTATATAAATTTTATATGTTTATTATATATAAACAAAGTTTAAATTCTTCATTAACTTTCTTGTCTGCTTATTATACATTTAATTATAATGTGTACATTACTTTAGAGTTTTAAGTAAGACCTTTCTTTAAAGTTAACTCTAGTAAAGAGAAATTCTTCCATACCCATCAACACCACTAGTGAAGGTTATACTAGGTTTATTGGGTTAACTAAATAGTGTTGAAATCAATTTCCACTGTTACTTGCTATTCCAGTTTGGTCCCATGTATTTGGTGAACCAGGGCAATCTGCATGCAGAAGAATTATTTTTTTATGGGAATAGGAGGAAAGTTGAAATGCTTTGGAAAGAACAGCTACATTTTGTTTTATTCTGCTTTGTTAACATGTTCATAGAAAAAAAAAAAAGGATCAAAATTTGAGTAACATTTAAAATTCCCTTCTCCGGAAGCACATGTAGAAGAATAAACTTCTAAATTACATTTTTATATTAGACATGGGCCCTGTGAATTGTCCTTTTGCTCACTGGAGAAGTTTGTATCAAATTACAGGTGTGGAACTTTTGTGAGATTTGATACAGCTGTAAAACATGGTATTGGGATAGATGCATGTAAATGATTTGATTTGGCAAATCACAGATGATGAAATATATAAAGGTCTGTTTTTCTGTTCTCAGTGTAAGACATACCATATCATGGATGAGACAGAATAAGAGAAAAGAACAATGATGAAAGTTGAATTTTAAAGACAGGAATAGAGATTAAATAGAATAAAGATTATAGAGATCAAATTTTTATTTAAAGTCTGTAGTTTTAGAAGCATCTGTAACATTCTTATACAGATAGTGTTTCATTTGAAATTACTGTCAAAGTTAGAACTCTATGCACTGAACACCTACTTAGACAACACGGATACTCTTCTAGAGATTGAATTTGTTTTATAACCTGGTATGCTAAATTAATGACTCAGCAAGTTGGAACCTTCCCAGGAAACGATTGCTTAGATTACATTATGGAAACTCTAACTGCCAGCATGTCTTTAAACATTTAACAGGACTGCAACAATTTCCTAACAGGGTATATTCCACTTAGCAGTTCAAAATGAACTCTCTTCATTAGTTAAGCTAGAAAACAGAGGAGAACTGTTTCTTTTACTTGTGGTTTGCTTATTGCCACTCATGTAAAAATCAAACATAAAATTTCCTGAGATAAAAGATACTTATAAAAAACATGGTTCAAATGAAAACTTCTTCAGCATTAAAATATTTATGTTTATCAACTAAAATTTATTTCATAGCCCCATAGTATCTGGATTTGGGGAGACATAAACTCACCTTAAGTTTAAGAGAGATAGAAAAGTAGAGAATATTTTACCATATTATACATATATATATATATATATATACACATACATACACACACATATATATGGACATCTCTTTATAAATCTGTCTGAATCACTAGACAATAAACTGATAAGGGAAAGACAATGTCTTAATCATATTTGTGTTCTATTAATGGAAAGAAGTGTCTGGTACATGATAACAGTAAGCATTGTTTGACCTGAACAGCATTTATGTTTCCAAAAAGTAAATGCATAAGAATAATGGATGAGACATTTCAATAGTTATTCAAAATAAAGACTATAAATTTTTAAAATTTAATGCTACATGAGTCATAACTTTTAAATATTCTCTTTACCAGATTTCACTTTAAGAGAAAACAACTGAGTAAGGAATTTTTCTCATTGCAACCACTTCTTTGTACATGTCTGCCTGGCTCCTTACCTCTACGTGAATACAAAATCTATGCAAAACTCTTCTGCTCTGGAGAGAGGGGCAGCAAGCTCAAAACCTAAAGGCTGTAAATATTAAGGGGATATTAAAGGGATATTAAGGGATGCAATTATTAAATATTAAGGGGATATAAAAGAGTGCAATAGGGAATGATGGAGATATAGTAAATTGGGGGGTGGGGTGAGCTCAGTGTAAAAAGGATGGC